AGCGCCTCGTGGGAGAGATAACAGCAAATGCTTTAGTTTTATCAGAACATCCTTATGGGTATGAATTCATGTAGTCACCCCTAAATTTATAGAGAATAAGTCTTTCTTTGTTATTGTTACTTTAATGGTCGGGAAAGTGGTTTTTATCTAATTAACTTCTTCAATTTCAGGAATTACGTTGTGCAGTATATATTGTGCCTGAAGATACCTCAGGTTACAGAAAAGACATTGGAGCAACTTGCTGGAGCTTATGCTTCTCTTTCCATGAATAAATATGGAAGCAATGTGGTCGAAAAATGCCTCAAGGAGTCTGAAGAACATCAAGCTCTAAAGATAGTCAATGAGATTATTAGGAGTCCAAATTTCTTGATGGTTCTTCAGGATCCTTATGGCAACTATGTTGCTCAGTCTGCACTGGCAATCTCTAAGGTATAGTATTGTCTATATTTATTTTAAGGCTGTCAAAAAATTTAAAAATATCATGTACTTAAGGATTCTTAAAGGCTTGACATGGAAATCAGATGGTCATTTCTTAAATTTACTGTGCAGGGAGCTACTCGTTATGCTATGATTCACCTAATTCATATGCACTACGAGTTGCTGCACAGCCATCCTCATGGAAAAAGGGTCCTTGCACGAATTCGAGGAAGAAAGCAACGTGTATGATTATGTAATATTTAGTACACCGCGCTCACATGCCCATATTTATTTTGGCGTCTCTATGTGTGTCTAATAACTACATTTGTTGGTATAATAAGTTTGTTTATTGTTTGTATTTTGTTTAGGAAATAACTAAGGATGCTTAGTTATGGGTTGTGAAGTAGATTGTCCTAGATTTTATTCTCTGGGATTTTGCTGTTGTTTCTTGTAGGTACTGTTGGATTTATTGCAAAGTTTTTTTGTTGGATTATTTATCAATAAATTTTTCTGTGGATTGTTAATGTGTGAACCGAAATGTTCGACCCACATTTTACCAACAGGCAACAGGCATGTTCCTAATTTTTGCTTGTAGTTAGGTATCAATTCTGCTTCTGCGAGAACTTGATGTTCAACTATTCTAGTTACTCTTCTAGCTCTCATTTTCACCATGGAATATTTTGCTTTATTTCTTTCTAATTTTTAACAAATAACTTCACTTCAAAGATTCAAATCTTGGGCTTGGGCTGGCCTTAATCTTTGTAGCTGCAGTCATTTAGAACGACGAGGCCTGCCCAAAACATAGAAAGGAACCGACAACTTGGGCCCAAAATATCAATGCATTTTTAAGTGCAAACTTCAAAGGTGTTCCTATACCCCGCACCCCGACTCCCATCCCTACCCCCACTCCCAATTTTGTTTTTTATTTCCCATCATGGTTTTTCTATACTTATATTTTACTATTTGATATGAAATTTTACTTCCCATGCTAAAAAATCTACAAGTCTAACCTTAGCATATACCATGAATATTTACGAAAGTTTTTGCCGAATATTAGATATGGTAAACAATAATAGGAAGAGGGTATATTTAATGTAGATTAAAATAGGGAAAAAAAAACTATACTATATTTGTTATTTTATTCAATAGTGTCTCAACACAATTGAATTTTTCATTTTTCACGAAAGAAAATTAATTAATTCACATATAGGGGGAAAAAAACTATATTATATATTTTCGTTACTTTGGAAAAATAATTAATTGAAATAACAAGTCGTTATTGATAATGACAAAGGCAGATGATCGACAATAGACACAAAAGAAAGAATTCAGGCTTTACAGTATAATTATATTTATGACCTAATAATAGTGCCCCCTATGTCGATAGATTCAATAGACAGCCTCAACTTGAAAAGCAAAAAAGTCACCATTCTAAAGTGAAAGGTGCAAAGATGTGTCCCCCTCAAGCTTCCCACTCCTATCTTAGCCCATGTTTAACAAGAGAAATTGGGGTAAAATGTATTTTGGAATATTAATTTTTTGGAGAATGTCTGATTTCAAGAGAAGGAAAAGTTTTTTTTATTTACGTTTAATATTATTTTATTGAAGAACGTGTGATTGAAATGAATGGAGAGAAATATGTATTAAAATTTTAATGTATATGTTTATAAATTAACTTTTTAAATATGCATTTATGAATCTTTTTTGTTATTTGGCTCATTGCCAAAATTACTAGTGGACTCAAAATAAGTAGATTTTTGAAAACAACAAGTCGTGTTGATTTTGCTCTACATCTCAACTTGTGATATGTTTTATCAAAATCGTATCACTTTTATGAATAAAAGCTTTTTGATATTTAATAAAAAGCCAAAGTTACTAATAGACTGCATGGAGTTGAGTCATTTCCATTGGACCACAACCGTGGCACCCCTGCTTTTTGTTGATTGGTAGTAAAATGGTCCTGAAGTTACGTACAAATGGAAAAAAACTTCGGTGGGTCAGTCGCAATCAAGTCCCAAGATAACCTCACATCATTGGATGAGGGTGAGCCACCCGATGAAATGTTGGCTCCCCATTCGGACCACTTCACTGAAATTTTCCTCGTGCAAATGGCATAAAGTAGGAAGATGGTAAGTCAAGAATGCATCAACGTAAATGTCTATTAAGAGATCTATTATGCTTTCCAAGTACACCCGATTTTTTGATCGAGCAAAGAACGATGATGTGTCGACAAAATTCATTGACTCACTCAAGAGATGAAAGTATTAATTGTTAAGATATAAATCTCACATCAAAAGATTATAGAATAAACAATAAACATAATAAGTTAACATTTTAATATTAAATTCAAGTTTTGATATGGTATTAGAGTTCATTAAACTCCAACCAACAACTCGATCTTTTACTATGATTGAAAAATGAGTAAATGAATTACAAAATTGACATATTTCAAAAGAGCCAATATTTTGTTGAAACATGTTAAGGGGTAAATCTATACATTAAAATTAGTGTAAAATATACAGTAAAGATGTAATGTCTTGAACAACTTTACTTAATAAGGTTGACTTTTTGAGATGTAATCACTAAGGGTCCATTTGATTGTAAACGTGGAAAAGACAAACTAATTCCATATAAGTTGGAAAAGAAAAAAAAACCACCAAAACCATAAGAATGCAATTTCCATGAAATTGGCCAAAAACATGCTTTTAGTGTTTATACCTTGAAATTCGAACTCTATTTTTCACTTTTATATCAAACAGCCAAAGTAAAAACTAACCCTCGAATGTGACATTTTTCATGGAATTCACTACAANAACTCTATTTTTCACTTTTATATCAAACAGCCAAAGTAAAAACTAACCCTCGAATGTGACATTTTTCATGGAATTCACTACAATCAGAAGAACTCTAATTACTAATATGGTATCAAAGCTCTTTGAACAGTAACCAATAACTTGATCAGATTAACACTAAAAATAAGCATGCAAATTTCAAGATTTAAAAGCCCAAATGAAGTCACCATCTTGAAGGATACGTTAATGATAATTTCTATTTCGAAATATTACAAAACATATAATCAACATATGATACATTAAACTACTCCACTTAATTAGATTAACATTTTAAAATGGAATCCCAAATTTTAATATTAGTATGTGAAAAAATCTCTGTATTTTGTCTTAGAAAATTTTATGGTTCGCTACATTTTAATCTATGCGAAAATGAATCTAAGTACTATCTAGTGATTGTGGCCGTATGGTTTTAAATTAAGAAAAAAAGGAGCAATTTTATTGTCGAATTATCAATGATGTTCTTTTTGTAATTTCGAAATATTGATAAAAAAGGGATCGTCGATTACGTGTCAGTTCCAAAAATTACGTAAAACCAAATTGTTCCACTTACAAAATATCGAAAGTTTGATGACTTGATGGATGGTTCCGGTTCACGAAATAGCTGGTACCAAAACCCAATAAGGAAGGATTTTGTTAGGCTTACAGAATTTTTTCTCAAATAACGCTTACAGAGAAGACACAATAAATGGGTGGGTGGGTTTTTTTGGGCAATAAAATAACCACATGGGAGCCACTCCCATGTGAAACTTTTGTAGCCCTTCTGTGATTTGTTATTCTGTACACTCAGTTATTGAAATTTTCATTTCTTACAAAAGTTTTTATTCTTTCACTGCCTGCAACCTTAATCTTAGGTGGGGGTGTTAGTGTGTTACTAAGGAGAGATTCTCTTGAAGTCAAAGGTACCACACGTCAAACTAGTGCAACCCCGAATTCAATTTTACGTTGCCACCCACTCCACTATAGTCTCACCATCATGGCACCACGACTGTCCACTCAAAATTTGCTGAGAGTTCTAGGAAAGTTGGAAAGGAAACATTTGAAAATCAATGGGACCCCATACATAATTGTTTCTTTCTTTACTTTTTGGATTTAAAAATACAACCGTTGAATGGACTAATATAAAAATTTGCTTACCATTTCTTTGGCTGCTAATAGTTTTTTTTTTTAATTGTTTATAGTGGAATTGAACCCTTCCAAAAATTATATGGAACTAAATGGTTCTATTTACAAAATAATTGAAGTTTAATAGGCAATTCTGATTCTTGAAATACTTAGATTTATACATCATATACTCACTCCTAGTTAGGGATGGCAATGGATCAAGTCGGCTAAGGATGAGTCCAGTTCGACTTGTAAACCTAACTTATGTTCACAAACAATGTGTGGCTCGACCCTTTGGCTCATGCGGACACGAGCAGAATACGAATCAGCTCTTTTTTATTGTTCAAAAAGCTTCAAATAAAACTAGAAAAGACGAGTCAAAAAAATGAGTCAACTCGTGAGGACTTGTTGAGCCAACTTGGCCTGTAAAAGGTTTCAAGCTCAACTCGATCCAAAGCTTGTCTTAATACAAGGCTGAATGGTCCATGGACCGAGTAGACAAATAGTTCTACCCTTTGTCACCCCTGCTCCTAGCTATAAGCTCTTTACTAGTGTTAAAAACAAAAATGAATATTCTATGTTAATAATATTTGTAGAATCATAGGAGATTTTATAGAATCGGAATCCTTGTGATCTATGTGATTATTTGTGACCTTTTAAAATTACCTAGCATATTACTTGTAGATTTATATTGTGGTTCCTCAAAATTTTATAATATATCTTTTGTTTACACAAGTATAGTGATACATATTTAAGATTCTTGTTAAACAATTTTAACAAGAAAACAAAACTATTTATGCTTATCATTGCACCACGAGTTACAAATCTTTAAAAATCTTAGAACTATGCATGTGATTAATATTTTAGGGCATAGACACTTATAATTGACAATTGACTATCCTCTACCTTTTACATGCAAAATAAAAGAAGGACCTTTAGTTTCAAAGGAAAAAGAAGATTGCGGTTTTGTCCACTTTGGTCTATCTTTTTCTAACCAGTGAAAAGAAACATGTCCCACTTTGATAATTAAATTGATCATAGCATAGAGATTTCAAAATAACAAGACTGAATGATTGAATATATATATATATATATATATCGGTGGAGATATTTTTCTTTCCATAATGGTATTTTTATAGGACAAAAAAATCAAATCACAATAATTATATTGAAAGAAAATACAATACATGATACATTAAGGGTCATCCCCCTATCACAGGGGCAGCTGAGCCCCTGATCCTATGAATATGTGATTAAAATCAATTGTTAACTCTGACTTATTTTAAAATTTTAATGTTAATTCCTACCAAAAGGGGGTTAAGCATGCTAAAATAAATACGCGAAGCTAATTTATTCACAGTATTTTCATAATAACAACTATATATTTATTAGCAGACGATACATTTCTAATGTATCAATTATTGTGTCCACGATAAACTATGAATTGTCAAATGTGGAGTCTAAAAGTGTAGAAAGCATCTAAATAGTAACATATTTCAAATTGAGTACTCTCATATCCCGACTTTCTTAGCGTAGGAAGCATGACCTTGAA